TGCGTGCGTGGTCCGCCCCCCCCCTCTCGCCCCCGCCGGCCCCCCCGCGCCCCCCAAGGAGTGGCGCCCCCCCCCCCCCCCCCCCCAAGAATCGTGACCATCCCTCGGCCCTCTGGCCTTCCCCTCGACGCCGGGACAAATCCCCTCAGCCCCACAAGACAGTGACATCTTCACGCGGCTTCCCTGGACAGTGACAGGCCTTGCACCGTGCGACATCCATTCCTCCTGCTTTACCCCCACAGCTGACTCTTCACAGACCTTCCACAGCCCCCGCACCCGGTGGTACCATCTCCTAGGCCTTGATGTCTCCCCCTCCCTCCGCAGGGAAAACCCCAGCAGCCCCTCATGCCTCTGCACTTGAACCACAGAGTAGGCCTAGTCTCAGCTTTCCCTTATCCCGAAGTCTGTTTCCCTCTCTACTGGCTTCTCCTCGGAGACAGACGTCTTTCCTTTAGGGATTCCCACTGCTGTGGGATCACCTGAGTAAAGTACTAGCGATTACTGCTAGCTATTCTGCTAACTAAATATTCCATTCCTGTTCGGGACCTGCACCTCTGGTTCTAGTACCCTGAGCTACTTACTACTACTACATACCTGTAGACTTGGTCCTTGCTTCTACCTCCATTTTGTGGTTTCTCTCTCAGCTTTTTCGGAGCTGTGAGGTGCGACTATGCCCATATCACTTTGACAGACTTGTCATTTATCTTGGGTTTATTTTCCAGTTTAGAAGTTTTGTAAACTAACCCCTATGAAATTAATACCAGAAAATCAAGAACGAAATTAACCCCCTTTCACAAGCAGTCTAAATTAGTTTGACCCAAATAATTTGAACAATTGAGGCCTTCTGCCATCCCTGCCCCTTGCTTATAAATACTCAGGCCAGAAGTGAGTTACTTGGTAGATCTGAAGTCACAGTTCAGGTGGAAGGATTAAAGCTATACACACATTTCTTATTTTTATTGCACTCTGAAATTTTTTGAAAGGAGGGTGATCAGAAATAGCTGTATTAGGGGCTAGAGAGATCTTGGCCCATACTGCTTTTCCAAAGGACCCAGCTTGGATCCCAACGTGCCAGGCAGCTCACAATGGCCTGTAACTCTGGCTCCAGGGGACCTGGCACCCTCTTCTAGCTTCCTCAGGCACCTGAACACACATGGCATACAAGGAGACAGAAAAATAAAAAATATGTCATGGACTGTAATAAGCACTTGGGTCATTGAAGTGTAGTTTTCCTTGTTCCTTTGCCTGCTTCTCTGACTGCCTGGAAAGGTGTGCCTGCTTAGGTGACATTCTTGGGTCCATGTGGGGCCGAGGGCTTTCCTTTCTCACCCCCCCCCCTTTCCTGAAATGTGTAGACTTGGAGGTTTTTGCTCTGCTACCTTCTTAGAAGGATAATGCT